TTTTGTATTAAAAACACTTGTCTTTCATTGGTGGGATGAAATATGCTAATTTTTTGGGGCAGGCATTTTGGGTTTTCATGAGCTGTATGCCATAATCATCAGTATTAAAACAATTAAAGACCTGAACTATTTCAGTGTGTGTGCAATGAATCTGAAATATATGAAAGTTTAATTTTTATCATTACATTATGGAAAATAATGACCTTTATCACAATATGCAAATTTTTTGAAAAGGACCTGTACATGATCCAATCTGCACCAGATTTATTGTGCTTGATCAGTTACCCATTCTAAACACATTGATATTGTTGTTTAACATCTGAGTACAGTGCACCCCTACATTATTCCAACAATTATCTCAGTGATACATCATCTGATCTAAACCAGATTTTTTGGGCTTCATCAGTGAACACTTGTAGACACACTTAAGCCTGGCCCTTTCAGAGAAGAAACTGATGATTATTGGGTGACTCTTCTAGCTTGGCACCGTGTAAGATATAAGACTGAAACTGCATTCGCTAACTGCTGATTACCAAATATGACATGTTGAAAAGCCTAAAGGAAGTCCTTTACATTTGCGACAAAACTGGAGGTGAAAATTGTTAGGTATTTTCTCTCGTACCCAACAGAAAAAAAGAGCGCCACACAGGACAGAGTAAGGTTTTTGGCCAACGCTCCTTGCAAGGAGGGATATTCGCCTCTGGTCTGAAACCAGAGGTGAACTTCAAAGCCTTGCTGTTAGAACTGGCTTTTATTTGGTAAGAGTGACACATAAGTGTTTGGCTTGGAACACTCTTTGATCAGAACAAAACATCTTTTGCACGGTCAGTTGATTAAATGCTTACTGTAATGAGTTTCTGATACCATCTGTATCAGTTGAAATCATCTGTATCAGTTTAAGGGTGAGGAGAAAAACTGACGGTGCTGGAATACTAATTGATACGTTTTGACATAACAAACAGTTCTAAGTAAAAACAGCTTATGTAAATACAGAGAATTACTATCAGCTCGGATGTGGACTGATAGTATCAGAAACGTTTTGCTTTGTATGCATAGAAGTACAGGAATCATGAAGCAGTTTAAAATGATAACATGAAAAACTCTTACAACAATAACACGTCTGGAAGGTCGGATTTTAGCCAAACTTGAAAGGCTTGCAGCCAGACTCATTCAGATAAGGGCGGAAGGTAATTGCAAAGATTCAACATATGCGCACCCTGGTGAACGCATGCGGGAATAGCACGAGAGCGTTCACGATAGCGGCTGGGAGGCGTTGCTGGAGCTCCCGCGGTCGCAGTTGATGTCGAAAGTTCGGCAAATGCGTACCCTGGTGAACGAGCGCGGGACGGGCGTGAGAGCGTTCGCGATGGCGACTGGGCGGAGTCGTTGGAGCTCCCACAGTCACAGTAAGTCCGGAGCGGCACTTTGCTGCAAGGGCCTTCAATGCTGCTTGCAGCTTTAATTTGATTTATTTTTATCTTTGCCGTTAACTTTTGGAGTTGTTTGTGCTTGTCTGTTTGCAAAATATTTTATAAACAAGTAGACACATTTTAATAAAATACTCATTTTTGAATTACTACGTTTTCAACTGGTTACCTTTTGGAGACAATCCAATTCAAGATGGTTATAATTTTGTCAATTTTACAAATGATAGGCTAAAACATGGTGAGGAAGTAGCTGAGAATCATTCACAACATATATCCTAAACACTACATGTTTCACACTGTCTTTGCCTAAAACGTTGACATTAGGTTGTCAGAAGGAAAAGGCTACCAAAAAAATTGTTGCTTTATGTTTCAAAGACTGTATCCATAATAATGCTGCAAACCAAAAATATGGCTTTGCATTAGAAACAGCTATGAATTGTTTTGGGATCATTCTCGATTTGTCTGTCTGCAGCCTAAATCCGGTTTCTCCCTGGAGTACCAGATGAAGCGGGTCAATTCGGAGCGAGCCATCACTCAAAGCGTCCTGTCTGTTATTGGGGAATGCGTGGATCAGTTTGGGCCTGGATGTGTAGGGGTGCAGAAGATTCTGAATGCTCGATGCCCACTCGTCCGATTTTCCCATCAACCCTCTGGTTTCCAGTGTGACCTCACAGCCAACAACAGGTGCTCATGTCTGAATTCACTATGGTAAAATGCTTCAGAATATTTATCCTGGTGCATGCTCAATAATCCAGGTAGAAAATTTTAATAAAGTTCAGTAGTTCCTCTGGATGGATTAAAAAAATATAAATTAAAAAGTTGTTGAAACATTTCGTCTTCTATCCAAAAGACTTTGTCAGACTGAGGAGCTGCACAAAACTCAGTCTTATAAATAGCACCTTCTCAGTGGATCAACCAGTTTGCTGTTAACATCCAGAACTAGCTGCTCACATGATCAAAGAGGACCATCAGCCTAACGATGGATCATTAGCACCCTGATGGCTGTTTGTTATTCACAGGGGGCTGAGTGATACTAGCAATAACAGCATTGTAAGAGGGGGACAGTTGAACACGGAGGCCTCCGCCCCTGTTTAATGATGGACGGGTCCTTTTTACAAAGATGGCTTCCTTTATTGTTCTCTCAAACCAATGTGGAACGTTGTGCACAACAATAGAAATGTTGGTGTGAGAGAGGAGTAAAGGAGGCCATCTTTGCGAAAAGAACTCGCTTGGAATGCTCTGTCTCCACGTGTTTTAAAGTAAGTTCTTGGTACCATCAGCAACATTTGATTTGAAGATCTCAAAGTCCTGGTGGGACAGAGAGGCTTTAAAAGGTTCTATAAATATTTGGGAGCTCGACCCTGAAGTGCCCTGAAAGTTAGGACCAAAATTTTAAAATGACTCCTGAAATGCACGGGGAGCCAATGCAGAGAGGCCAGAACAGGTGTCATGTGGGCTCTTCTGTGGGTTCTAGTTAGCAGCCTTGCTGCAGCATTCTGCACAGACTGAAAGTGAGCTAGGGAAGATTTATTCAGACCTAATCTAAACGATAGGAAATAAAAGCATGAACAATCATCTCTAGTTCCTTCTGATACCATACATCGTAGTTTTGAAATGTTTCTTAGATGGTAAAAACCATTTTGAACTAACAGTTTACAATGATTGTCCAAAGATAAAGAACTATCAAAGACAACACCCAAATTTCTGAGATTATTCTGAGATTGTTATTTACTTATTATTATTATTTATTATGGCATAGCTGAAAACTTAACAAAATCCCAATCATCCATCCATCCATTTTCTTCTGCTTATCCGGGGTCGGCTTGCGGGGGTAGCAGCTTCAGCATGGAGGCCCAGACTTCCCTGTCCCCAGCCACTTGGGCCAGCTCCTCCGGGGGGAATCCCAAGGCATTCCCAGGCCAGCCGAGAAACATAGTCCCTCCAGTTTGTCCTGGGTCTTCCTCTGGGTCTCCTCCCAGCGGGCCGTGTCTGGAACACCTCACTAGGGAGGCGTCCAGGAGGCATCCTAACCAGATGCCCGAGCCACCTCAACTGGCTCCTCTCGACATGGAAAAGCAGCGGCTCTACTCTGAGGCCCTCCCGCATGACCGAGCTTCTCACCCTATCTCAAAGGGAGAGCTCAGCCACCCTGAGGAGAAAAATCATTTTTGAGCGCTTGTATCCGAGATCTCATTTTTTTTGTCACAACCCAAAGCTCTTAACCATAGATGAGGGTAGGAATGTAGATCGACAGGCAAATTGAGAGCTTCGCCTTTTGACTCAGCTCTCTCTCCACCACGACAGACCGGTATAGCGCCCGCTTCACTGCCGACGTTGCACCTATCCGCCTATCGATCTCTCACTCCATTTTTTCCTCATTCGTGAACAAGAAATACACTCCTCCACTTGGGACAGGACCAAGCGAGGGCACTCTACCCTTTTCCGGCTCAAGACCATGGCCTCAGATTTTGAGGAACTGATCCTTCTCCTGTCCGCGTCACACTCTGCTGCTAACCGCTCCAGCAAAAGCTGTAGATCATGACCTGATGAAGCCAATAGGACCACATCATTTGCAAAATGCAGCGATGCGATCCTAAGGTCACCAAAACAGATCCCTCAACACCTTGGCTGCGCCTAGAAATTCTGTCCATAAATGTTATGAACAGAATCTGTGACAAAGGGCAACCATGGCAGAGTACAACTCTCACCGGGAACGAGCCCGACTTACTGCCGGCAAAGCGGACCAAGCTCTGACACTGATCCAACAGGGACCTAACAGCCCATATCAAAGGGCCTGGTACCCCATACTCTCAGAGTACCTCCCACAGGGCTCCCCGAGGGACACGGTCGAATGCCTTCTCCCAAGTCTACAAAGCACATGTAGACTGGTTGGGCAAACTCCCATGCACCCTCCAGGACCCTGCTGAGGGTGTAGAGCTAGTCCATTGTTCTACCACCAGGGCAAAAACCACACTGCTCCTCCTGAATCCGAGGTTTGACTATCTGACAGATCTTCCTCTTCAAAATCCCAATCACATAATGTAAAATAGTAAGCTGCAAGTTAAAACACTTAAGTAACTGATTATCTGTAACTAATTTGGGCAAAAATATCTTAAGTTTTTTTTGTTTTTGTTTTATTGTTTAATGTTTTATAGTCCAATAGTAAAAACAGACAATACAGTAAATGTTAACAGCAATTGTTCTTTTGTTTTCTCCACAGGGTGGCAATGAAGAGCACAGAGCTACTGTACCTGTATGGAGGGCTGGACACACGGGTGCGCAGTCTGGTGTTTACCATCCGGTGTTGGGCCAGGTCTCACGGCATCACCAGCAGCATACCAGGAGCCTGGATCACTAACTTCTCCCTCACAGTCATGGTGTTGTTCTTCCTGCAGAAGCGAAGCCCTCCCGTTATCCCCACACTGGACCACCTCCGGGACCTTGCAGGTAGCATTCACAGATCCTGATCAACAAGTTACAAATTCTGACATTTTAGTTAAAATTAACTTACAAAAAACTTTGGGATTCTTTATCAGCATATTTTCAGGATTTATGGTGGATTGTCAAACAAATACACTGCCTGGCCAAAATAAAAGTTGCCACATGGATTTAACTAAGCAAATAGGTGCGAGCCTCCTATTGGATAATTAGTGCATGGGCGATTATCTTTCAGCTGCAACAAGTTATTTAACCCCAACTGGTGCAATGAGTTGCTTCTCATTTCTTAAACAACCATGTGGAAAGACAAATCGCGTGGTCGTGGAAAAGATCTCAGTCTGTTTGAGAAGGGTCAAATCATTGGCATGCATCAAGCAGAGAAAACATCTAAGGAGATTGCAGAAACTACTAAAGTTGGGTTAAGAACTATCCAACGCATTATTAAAAACTGGAAGGATAGTGGGGACTAGGGCTGAAACGATTCCTCGAATCATTCGAGGACCTCGATTACAAAAAATCCTCGAGGCAAATTTATCTGCCTCGAAGCTTCTTTAAAACTATTCAGAGCACTGTGGTCTAGCCAGAAGGTTTTTGTGTTACACAATGCTAGCGCTTCCGCTAGAACTTCCGCTGACGTGTATGTGCTAAGTTTGTAGCTATGGAGGGAAGGAGACTGTCTAGAAGAAGAGCCCCGAAAACAACAAAAACTGTCAAAAGTTTGGGAACATTATAGGCTAAACAGAAAAGACAACACAGCGAAATGCATTCACTGCAAAGCAGAATTGAAGTAACCACAACAGCACGTCATCGATGTTGCAGCATCTGAAGAGAAAACACCCGCTGTAGCATCAAACTCGTCCGCAGCTGTAACAGGTATCATGTTCTCTTTGCAAAATACGTTAACCTAACCTAACATAAAGATTCCATTCAGTTTTCCAATCCATAAAAATTATTTACAGCATTTAAATTTTTATGTGATAGTTAAAAATAATTCAGTGACAGAGGGTTTTAATTAAAGCATCCTCAAACCTCACACATAAATAAAAGCTTAACATGCATAAATCAAATACAACTGACATACTAATGTTACTTTGATTGCAGCAGGGTCATCAGAAAGTGTAGATTACTTAACAATATTAAATAATTTTATAATATCCAGTGAAGTACACTTGAAAATTTATTAAGTAATAACAATGAACAAACAAATAATAATTTTATTCTACTTCTTTTCAGTAAATCTCAGAGTCATAGCTGCGTACAAAGGGTTCCAGGATGTTGGTTGTGCAGCAGCTGAGTTCACAAACGGCATTTTAAATATGATCATCACAGACATGCAGTCGCTGTCCGTGGTGGAAGGTGAGGGCTTCCAGAAGATCATCTCCACCTTCAATCCAAATGATGTCCTTCCTTCCAGATCCTACTTTGTAAATTCCATTCAGTTTTCCAAACCATAAAAATTATTTGTTTAAAAATAGTTAAACTTAAGCAATAAAACATTTTAAAAAGAGGAATTAAATGGGTTGTTTATTTAATGTTCATTTTCGTGTATTTGCATTACTCATAAAATGAGTACGGTAGTTACTGCAGAACCTGACAAATGTTGTTTCTGATTACTCAATTAATCGCCAGAATAATCTATAGATTACTCGATTACTAAAATATTCGTTTACAACAGCCCTAGTGGGGAACCGTCATCTTCGAGGAAGAAATGAAGCTGGGAAAAAATCCTGAATGATTGTGATTGGTGATCACTTAAACATTTGGTGAAATCATAGAAAGAAAAACAACAGTAGCACTCAGGACTATGTTTACTAGTGAAAGTAAGAATTTCTACACGCACAATGTGAAGGGAACTCAATGAACTGGGACTGAAAAGCTGTGTAGCCTTAAGAAAACCACTAATCAGTGAGGCTAACTGGAAAAAAAGGCTTCAATTTGCTAGGGAGCATAAAGATTGGACTCTAAAGCAATGGAAGAAGGTCATGTGGTCTGAGTCCAGATTGACCCTGTTCCAGAGTGATGGGTGCATCAGTGTAAGATGAGAGGCAGGTGAAGTGATGCACCCATCATGCCTAGTGCCCATGATCTGGGGTTGCTGTAGTTGGTCAAGTTTAGGTTCAGCAACAGTAAAATGGTAAATGGACTGTACTTATATAGTGCCTTTCTATCTTATTTCAAGATACTCAAAGCGCTTTACACCACAATCTGTGTCCTCATTTACCCATTCATACAGCACTCTACTAGATCTCTACAAAGCTAATTGAACAAATCATTCTAATGAGACTAATCAGAGCTTTATTACATTCAAACACTGATGGGACACACATCAGAGGCTATGAGGGGTTCAGTGTCTTGCCCAGGGACACTTCAGCATGTGACTGCTGGTGGATTTGAACCCCCAACTCTCGCATTGGAGGACAACTGCTCTAACCACTCAGCCACAGCCGCCCCGTAGTTAAGTTATAGTTCATTTAAAGGCAACATATTTTTTGTAGTATGTTACATTTATGCTCAACAGATCTTAAGCTTCATTTTATTTAGTTTTTTTTGGAAAACCCACCACCCCGGTCTTCTTCTTTTTGGCCAATCTAGCTGCTGACTCCATCATGCAGAGTGCTTACTGGACAATAAAAAATCCATCGCTCCAGAAAGTTCAATGTCCCACTTCCTCCAGACACAAGTAACATATACAAGCAGCTATTTAAACAGTGGCTAACACACAGACCCCACAGACCACCTCAGGAGTAACAAGGGTGTCACTGGAGATGTGAACCATGCAGGAAAGAACATGATGCACAATGCTGCTGTTCTTTCAGCTGACCAATGCTTCACTCACACACAAACACACTTTCTCTTCTTCCCTCTGTTGTTTCATTATGAATCCACCAGCACATCCATCTGTGACTTGTTTATAACCATCATTAATGTGTAAAGGCAGTTATTTCACCTTGTATCCCTGCTTTCGTCCTCCAAGGCCCTGAAGACAAGAGCATGATTGAGGGGAGCGACTGCACGTTTGTCAGCGACTTCAGCAAGATCCAGCTTCAGAGCAACATGGAGACACTGGGTGATTACGAGTACCAAAAATGAAGGCTGCAGGGCCAGAGTTCAGTTTGATGACAATGGCGGTTTTATTTATAGTGCACATTTCACTGCAGGCACAGTGCTGTAATGTAATGTATTGAAATTGTAATGAAATGTATTCACCCCCATACAGATTTCCTCTTTTTGCATTTTTGTTGCACATACACTTTTTTGATAATCAATCAGAAAAAGATAACCTGAATAAATACAAATGGCAGTTTTTTTAAATTATGTTTTCATTTTCTGGCCCTATGTGAAAAAGTAATTTCCATCTAAGCCTAATAACTGCTTGTGCCACTCTTGGTGAAAACTGCAATCAAGCATCAGTGTTAACTTGACTTTGAGTCTTTATTTGTTGCTGCACTTTGTCCTGCGGCAGACAAGTGAGCTTGAGCTTAAGGTGAGGAACTGATTGTTGACGTTCTCCTGTAGGATTTTTAGCTAGAGAGCAGAATGCAACATTTCCTTCCCCTTGTCCTGTCCGGCATTGTGACACTTAGAATTATTGTCTGAGTGTCAAACTGATGTCCAACAGATTTACTTTTACAAGTGGAGCATTATGGCTGGACTTAATGCTCCACTTGATGTATAAAATAAATTTTATTAGAATTGCTTTGGGTTTGTTCCAGATGTAATGGACACGGGGACGAAAAACAAAGAAGATAAAGCAGAAAAGTGAGAGAAGGGTTAAAATGTAAAGAAGGAGTTGGGAATAGAGGAGAGAGAGAGGGATAAAGAGAACACAAATCAACTTCATTGAAGTCTGCCTCTAGACCTGCGGAAAGAAAAAGAAAAAAAAAACGACAAAACCGAGAAACCACAACAACAAACAACATATATAATGATACTTATAACATCGTTAGAAAGTATTTTATACAGTACATGGTAATACAAGATATATTTAGTGGCCAACACAACCCAACTGAGTGTGTATCTGAAAAACATCTGAATCTAAACACCTGTATGAGCATGCTTGTCACTATAAGGTTTCTCCATAAAAATGTTCAATAGTGGATGTGGGGACCCATAAACCCGTCCCCACTGGACACAAAGGTACACACAGGGAAGACCGGAACCACAGACACACAGTGGCCCCCAAGCCCGGAACTCCGGGAGTTCCCCAACAGGGACACCCGCACCCACCAGAGAGAGAAGCAAAGGGAAGCCCCAGGCGGAAGGGGAAAAAAAAAAAAAAAAAAGAATGCAACGTTTCACCTATTACAGCAATTTGTCAAGGTGCTAAAGTATTAGAGCAGCCTCAGACGATCACATTGCCACCACCATGCTTGACTGTTGAAATTATATACTTCTCTTCTTTGCACCAGATGCAAAAAGACACACGCCTTCTAAAACAGTTTCTCTTTGGTTTCCTCAGTTAACAAGATTTTCCCATTTTCCCAAAAGTCTTAGGAATCATCAAGAACCTTCTCACTCCTGGGAAGTTTCACCACTTGTTTTTTCCCATTTGTGGATAATGGCTCTATTTAAGTGATTTCTTGATTCTACAAGTCTGTCTGTAATCAGGCTTGCTTGTATCAGTAAAACTGATTTTTAACTTTAAAACCAAAACCAAAACAAAAAATACCCATTTACTTTATGAGTGAATAAGTTGTGGGGATTATTTTTTTACTTGAAGGCCACCTTGGTTTGAAAAGCTTTTCTCTTTAAATTATTCAAACCACTCTGAAAACTGCAGTTTGTATTTACTATAGTTATTTTTATTTAATATTGAAATTTGTTTGCTTAAATTTGTTTCTGTCTTCAACTACAAGGAGGGAAGAGTGTCAGGAGACAGAGGGAGAAGAGGAAATTCAAGAATGTTGGACTAAGTGTGACAACTTTAAATGTGGGACAATGACAGGCAAAGGTAGAGAGCTGGCTGACATGATGCAAAGAAGGAAGGTAGATGTTTTATGTGTCCAAGAGACCAAGTGGAAGGGCAGCAAGGCTTGCAGCATTTTTCAATTCAGTTTATTTATCTAGTGCCAATTCACAACAGAAGTCATCTCAGGTCACTGCACAGAAACATTCACATACATAAAAATCGCTTAATAACAACATGTATCTAAGGAGCCAGCAAATGGCTTCGCAATTTCACTTTGTTGCAGTCTCCCATCCTAAGCGAGCACAGATGCAATGAAAAACTCCCTCATGAGGAAGACACCTCCAGCAGAACCAGGCTCCGTACAAGCGGCTATTCTGGACCTGTTGCAGGTCCAAGACGGATGCCATCAGGTTATTCTCTAGGAAGAAAGACAAAAGTTTGGGCAGGCTTTAAACTGTTTGACCATGGTGTGGATAGGAAGAAAAATGGAGTAGGAGTGTTCCTGAACGAGGAGTTGGCAAAGAATGTATTAGAGGTGAAAAGAGTGTCAGATGGGGTGATGTGTCTGAGGGTAGGAGTAGGTCTGTTGCTAAATGTTGTCAGTGCTTATGCTCCACAGGTTGGATGTGATGTCGAGGATAAAGATACATTTTGGAAGAAATGAATGAAGTGATAGAGTATTTCCAGAGAGGAGAGAGAGTGATGATCAGGGCAGACCTTAATGGGCATGTTCAAGTTCAAGGTGGTTTTATTGTCATTTCACCAAGTATGGTACATGAGGTGGAACAAAATTGTGTACACAGGGTCCCAATTACATCCAACAATAGCAAAAATATAAAGTGTAAAAAAAACGGTAAATAAGGATCTAAGAAATAAACTAAGATATATGCTAAAACAAACGTTAAACGATACGCTAAAGATCAAAGATATACAGTAGTCCCTTGTTTATCACGGGGGATCCGTACCCTGAAGACCCGTGATAAGTGAAAAACTGCGAAGTAGAAATAATAGTAAAACGAGTAAGTAGTAGTAGTATATATACAGGTCCTTCTAAAAAAATTAGCATATTGTGATAAAGGTCATTATTTTCCATAATGTAATGATAAAAATGAAACTTTCATATATTTCAGATTCATTGCACACCAACTGAAATATTTCAGGTCTTTAATTGTTTTAATACTGATGATTATGGCATACAGCTCATGAAAACCCAAAATGCCTGTCCCAAAAAATTAGCATATCATGAAAAGGTTCTCTAAACAAGCTATTAACCTAACCACCTGAATCAACGACGTAACTCTAAACACCTGCAAAAGATTCCTGAGGCTTTTAAAAACTCCCAGCCTTGTTCATTACTCAAAACCGCAATCATGGGTAAGACTGCCGACCTGACTGCTGTCCAGAAGGCCATCATTGACACCCTCAAGCAAGAGGGTAAGACACAGAAAGAAATTGCTGAACAAATAGGCTGTTCCCAGAGTGCTGTATCAAGGCACCTCAGTGGGAAGTCTGTGGGAAGGGAAAAGTGTGGCAGAAAACGCTGCACAACGAGAAGAGGTGACTGGACCCTGAGGAGGATTGTGGAGAAGTGCCGATTCCAGACCTTGGGGGACCTGCGGAAGCAGTGGACTGAGTCTGGAGTAGAAACATCCAGAGCCACCGTGCACAGGCGTGTGCAGGAAATGGGCTACAGGTGCCGCATTCCCCAGGTCAAGCCACTTTTGAACCAGAAACAGCAGCAGAAGCGCCTGACCTGGGCTACAGAGAAGCAGCACTGGACTGTTGCTCAGTGGTCCAAAGTACTTTTTTCGGATGAAAGCAAATTTTGCATGTCATTCGGAAATCAAGGTGCCAGAGTCTGGAGGAAGACTGGGGAGAAGGAAATGCCAGAAGTCCAGTGTGAAGCACCCACAGTCAGTGATGGTCTGGGGTGCCATGTCAGCTGCTGGTGTTGGTCCACTGTGTTTTATCAAGGGCAGGGTCAATGCTGCTAGCTATCAGGAGATTTTGGAGCACTTCATGCTTCCATCTGCTTAAAAGCTTTACGGAGATGAAGATTTCATTTTTCAGCACGACCTGGCACCTGCTCACAGTGCCAAAACCACTGGTAAATGGTTTTCTGACCATGGTATTACTGTGCTCCATTGGCCTGCCAACTCTCCTGACCTGAATCCCATAGAGAACCTGTGGGATATTGTGAAGAGAAAGTTGAGAGACGCAAGACCCAACACTCTGCATGAGCTTAAGGCCGCTATCGAAGCATCCTGGGCCTCCATAACACCTCAGCAGTGTCACAGGCTGATTGCCTCCATGCCACACCGCATTGAAGCAGTCATTCATGCAAAAGGATTCCCGACCAAGTATTGAGTGCATAACTGAACATGATTATTTGAAGGTTGGCGTTTTTTGTATTAAAAACACTTGTCTTTCATTGGTGGGATGAAATATGCTCATTTTTTGGGGCAGGCATTTTGGGTTTTCATGAGCTGTATGCCATAATCATCAGTATTAAAACAAATAAAGTCCTGAACTATTTCAGTTGGTGTGCAATGAATCTGAAATATATGAAAGTTTAATTTTTATCATTACATTATGAAAAATAATGACCTTTATCACAATATGCTAATTTTTTTAGAAGGACCTGTATATATACTACTACTACTTACTCGTTTTACTATTATTTCTACTTCGCAGTTTTTCACTTATCACGGGTCTTCAGGGTACGGATCCCCCGTGATAAAC